GTAATCAATTCATACAGTTTTATAAGTACAGTGAAACCTGTGAGAGCCAGAACTCAATGGGGCTGCCTTGTTTTTCCAGGACTTGCAAGTTTTCCACCTTTGACAGGGTACAGTCTTACCATGTTTCTATTGCTTGTTTTAATGGAAAGTATTTGAATTTTCTTTCCCCGACAGTTTTCTGCCTTAAATGGGTTCCAGCTTTCACAGGTTTTACCAGAGTACTCAAGAGCTTTCCTTCAATTGTTTGTCATCTGCCTGGCACAGCATATTTCTAACAGCATACTTTTAGTAAGTGGTGGCAACAGAATTACAATACAGGTGGGCTGATTTGGAGTCCTGACATTCAATCAGGGCAGTACCATGCAGCTTTTCCCAAAGTGGAAGTGACTGGCATTAATTAACATAACCTCCCTGTTCCATTCTAATCCAAACAGAAGACAGCTGTAGTGAACGCCTTGAAACTTCTCCAACCTTGTTTTTGAACCAGGGCTTCGAACCAGCTCGAACCCTTGCTGAGAATTTGCATTTCCACCCCAGGTATACTGAATCAGAATCTACAGTTTAACCAGATCCCCAGGTGATTCTTTAAAAAAAAGAAAAAATATCTTATTTTAGATGAAGGTTTACAGAACTAGCTTCTCATTAAACAGTCAGTACACATATTGTTTCGTGACACTGGTTACCAACCCCACATTTCAACACTCTCCCCTTCTTGACCTTGGGTTCCCTATTACCAGTTTTCCAGGCCCCTCCTGCCTTCTCATCCTTGCCCCTGGACTGGTGTGCCCCTTTAGTCTCGTTTTGTTTTATGGGCCTGTCTAATCTTTGGCTGAAGGGTGAACCTCAGGAGTGACTTCAGTACTGAGCTAAAGGGGTGTTCGGGGGCCATACTCTTGGGATTTCTCCAGTCCATCAGGCCAGTAAGTCTGGTCTTTTTTTGTGAGTTAGAATTTTGTTCTACGTTTTTCTCCAGCTCTGTCCAGGACCCTCTGTTGTGATCCCTATCAGAGCAGTCAGTGGTGGTGGCCGACCACCATCTAGTTGTGCTGGACTCAGTCTGGTGGAGGCTGTGGCAGTCGTGGTCTGCTAGTCCTTTGGACTAATCTTTCCCTTGTGTCTTTGGTTTTCGTCATTCTCCCTTGCTCCAGACGGGGTGAGACCAGTGGAGTACCTTAGACGGCTGCTCACAGGCTTTTAAGACCCCAGACACTACTCACCAAAGTAGAATGTAGAACATTTTCTTTATAAACTATGTTACACCAATTGAGCTAATGCTGCCCGAGACCATGGTCCCCAGAGCCCTCCCCCAGGTGATTCTTATGTATAAGAAAATTTGAGCACCACTGCTCTACTAGCAGTTTTCAGAATCAGTCCCCAACCAGCAGCACTAGCATCACCTGGGAACTTGTTATCAAACTCCAACCCATTACCATCTAGTCGATTCCGACTCAGAGCGACCCCACAGGACAGAGCAGAACTGCCCCCACAGGGTTTCCAAGGAGTGGCTGGTAGATTCGAACTGCCAACCTTTTGGTTAGAAGCTGAGCTCTGAACCACTACGCCACCAGGCTCTGGGAACTTGTTAGAAAGGCTAATTCTCAGCAGGGGTTCAACCTGGAACAAACTGGTTTGAAGTCCCGTTTTGAACAAAGCATGCTTCAGGCTCTTCTGCTCCATCAGTACCGATTACTTACCATCAACAGAAGGTATCATATGGCTCCCTTCTATTTACAATAGCAAGACGTTTCCTTTTTAGTGTTTATATATGAGTGGACTTGTAAATAATCACATAGGTGTTAAGAGAAAACAAAAACTGGGAAGGAGGTAGGCCAGTGATTGAAATTTTGCAAAGGCTCTACTGTCAAGAAGATGAAGATCTAAAGAAATTCTGCTACCAAATGCCAACTAAGGAAGTTAAACCTTTTACTAAGAACTTAAAAAACTTTCATGGATGGAAGGGTACTCCTCTGAGAACTGCTAGCTCTTCCTCCCCCTACACCAGACCAGACCCAGCTGGGATGCTTCTTACTCTCCAGTTGCTTCTCATAGAGCTTGTAGACCCTCAGGTGGGCCCTGCGCAGCCAGTAGTGACAAACATGGGCCCCAGTCACATACCCAGTCATTTCTGGCTGGTCAATGTGCATGTGGCCAGATTACTTAACCACCGAGTCTTGGTTTTCTCACCTTTAAAATGGGTATCTATCTACCTCCCAGAGCTCATTTATTCCTTCAACGAATACTTATTGAAGAGCTAGGATGTACCAAGTACTGGAAAGAAGCAGTTAACAATATAAAGTTTCTGCCCTAGAAGAGCTTACACTTAGGGGAGAAGGGGAGCCAGACCAACAAGTAAAAAAATACTGCCCCCCCCCCAAAAAAAAGCCAAGATGATTCTATCTACTCATTACACTTTTATGGGTATGAAATAGAGTAATAAGGATGCCCTTACTTTGGAATACCATCTGAAAAAGAAACATTTAAGTGAGACCTGGAGGATAAAAATTAATCAGCCTGGTAGAAAGTGGGGTGAAGAGCACTCCAGGTAGAGGGAACCCAACCTGCAATGGCCAAGAGGTGAGAAAGGCTTGCAAGAGCAAACAGAAGACCGTGAGCAAGCAAGGTAGGGTCCAGGATGAAAGGGGGGGGGGGGCGTAGACTGTTTCAAAAAAAAAAATCGAGACGAATCCGCCCCACAGCAACCCTATAGGATAGAGTACAACCGCCCCATAGGGTTTCCAAGAAGCAGCTGGTAGATTCGAATCGCTGACCTTTTGGTTAGCAGTCACGCTCTTAACCACTGCGCCACCAGGGCTCCAGAACCAAATCCACTGCTGTCAAGTCCATTCCAACTCATACAACTGCCCCATCGAGTTTCCAAAGAGCGGCTGGTAGATTCGAACTGCCGACCTTTTGGTTAGCAGCCAAGCTCTTAACTACTGTGCCACCAGGTCTCCGGGGAAGGGGGCAGGCCGTATTAAATTCGGACTCTGGATTTTTTTCCACTAACAATGGGGCCCCACTAAAGGACTTTAATAGGCAGTAAGTATCTTGGTTCGATTTACGTTTTAAAAATATTACGTTCCCTCCAACTCTTGTGTGGAGAACGGCCTGAAGGGAAACAAAAGTCGAGGCAACGAGAGCAGTGATAGGAAAGGAGTGCAGTGGGCTGGTTCGGGGGAACTTTAGAAAGCCATGATGGTAGCTAACTTTTCTGTACACTTACCTCGGGCCAAGCACGTTTGAAGAGCTTTACTGGGTATAAACTCCTTTCACTCTTACTACAAATGATTACATGACTGCCCCCATTTTTGCATGGATACACCGAAGCACAAAAAGGTCAAATGGCATGTAGTAATCGCTCTGTATCTGCAGTAGTATTACTGTCCGAGACCACACATCTATTAAGCGGTGAAGCCAGAATAAGAACCTGGGCAGTGCGATCCCTTATCCCGACCCCGGGCAGGGGTTAGGTCTCTACACTGCCTGCTGCACGCCCCCTAAAAAGTATTATTACTAGAGGAAACCAAGGCCCAGAGAGCGGAAGGAACCCGGAATTTTAAGCGCTTCACTCGGGTTCGACTCCAGTCCTGTGACCGGCAGCCCAGGAACACGAGAACTCGCCAGACTGAACCCCTCGCGCCCAGTCCAGAAGGCTGGATCACCAGCCCGGCCTGCAGCCCCGACCCGCGGGAGACTACGAAGCCAGCACGCACGTACCTGAAAGACCCAGAGCCCGCACCCGCTGCGCCTGCGCGCGATTCAAACGTTTCAGGCCGCGGCGCGCGCCTCGCGACCCCGCCCCTTCCTCTTCCGGGAAGTCCGCAGCTGGGTCCTAAAGACCGCCGAGTCCAGAGGGGCTGCAGGTGTTCGCCCAGGAGGTGGCGAAGGAGAGACGTGGTCACCTCTAGCTCTTCTCTCTCCTCACAACTATCCTAAAAAAGAGGGGGAGAAAAAAGAAAGATTTCCCTCTCTCCTTGCTTCGTTAATTAGCAAAACTCATTTCTTTTACAGGGATTCTCAAAGAAAGCCTCAGGTTCCCAGGGACCAAGGCTGGGGTGTTTACTTTAAAGGCTGAGGGAGAATCAGCTGAGGTTAAAGCCACTGAGGATTGAGAGATCTGTGTCCCGGAAGGGGCGACTTAAAAACCTGCTGTAAAATGAAGGGTTAAATGAGTTCCCATCAGATTCTAAACCTGGAAGGTCTGATTCTTCTTTGAAACTGTGTGTGTGTGTGTGTGTGTGTGTGTGTGTTTAATTCACTGATTTGATAGAAAGAGGTCTAAGATAAATCACTGATTTGATAGAAAGAGGTCTAAGATAAATTCATTTGCAAACCAGAACTCTTCTCATATTCCTTGCCCTTAAGGAATGTTTCCGTAGAATTTGGGCTCCATGCTGTTCATGCTCTTTATTCCTGGAGTGTCTTTCAGACCAGGACTGAATGAAACTGCTTTGTGTAAACATCCTAACAGCTCATTTGGTTCGTTTATTGAACGTCTCCTCTGTGCCAGACCCCGTGCTATGTGTTTGGGCTACACAAGGACAAAACATGGTAGCGACCTTAGACCGCGCGACCCGAATGTTCTGCTGATCTGAATGTGAGTCCTGAACTTGTTTAGTTCCTTTTATCCTTTGTTCATACTTTTTTTTGTCTCCTATAATGTTTAGCACAGTGCTAGAGACCAAGAAAATGGCCAAATTATTTATTGCATAAATGAAGAAGAGAGAATCTGAAAGAAATCATGCACCACGATACGTCGAAACAGCACCCAGATGAGCGGAATCCCCAGCCGCGCCCAATGAGTTAAGGGAAAAGGACCGAGCCTGGGAGCCTCACCGCCACAAGCGCTTCCAAGGAAACGTTTTTTAAACAAAGTATCTGGCCAATAGCACTGCGAGATCAACGCCAGTGGTTCGCATGCTGTCCAATGGGAGGCGACGTTAGAGTTGCCTGGCGAAGTTCCGCTTCCTGAGCCGTGGTGGGCGTGGCCGCAGTGGGCTGAGAGTCGGGCTCTGCTTGCGAGTTCGGTTGTCAGAGTTCTGGCTGTGGTGTTATGTTTTTTGCAAAGGGCGGGACGCGGCCGCGGACGTCGGAAGTCGACCCCTCGGAGCACAAAAAATGGGTGAAAGTAGGTGTCCGGAGGGCAACTTTGAGCCTTGTACTTAAACTTGTCCCGGGGCTCTCACTTCTGTCACCGCCTCGGTCACTCATCCCTGTTGTTCACACAGGAACTGGATTGTCTTTCCCAAGGCTTGGGTCAGTGACTGGGCTAGAGGCGCAAGGCTCTTGGCTCCCGGTCTAGTTCTCTGGTAACCTCCAGGTTCCTTCTCTTCTTTCCCCGCCAACTGGTCTATTAACAATAATCTTTGTTCTGTATTCCTCCGCCCGCCTTCTAAAGCCATGCCCTTTGCCTCACTTTTCCAATTCCAGGACTGACTTTTGGGTAGAATGAATGGTTTAAAAGAATTCATTTGCATCAGTCTAGCGTTACACCGTTTGTACTTTTTTGATAAATTTTAGCCCATCATTAAGATTTCTTGAGAATTAGGATAATGAAACTCCATTTCCGAGCCCTACTGCTGGTCTGAGTTACAGATTTTCGATATCCAAATTTAAGATAAACTAGTAATAGAAGAGAACAAACCACTTCTGTCTCATTAAAGATATTTATTTATTTTTAGGTATTTAAAGCATGTGATGAAGATAACAAAGGCTATCTAAGCAGAGAGGACTTTAAAGTTGCTGTTGTAACGCTGTTTGGGTACAAGCCCTCCAAGGTAGACCTTATTTTATGTGTTTGGGGATGGGGTAGACAATGTAAGAGTGAATGAATCCTCACTAAAGTGCAGAGGACTGCCTTAGGATATTTATAAAGCAAATCACTGCCTTGTAAGCAGTCTCAGAGATGTGTCTAGTGCTGAATTTTACTTTCTTCTTCAGAACCCCACTTAGGCTGAATTAAAAGTCTATCTCATGACATCCCAGGAAGCCTATTTCACGACTAGGCTGCTAATAATTATAACAAATATGAGACACTGTAGAGAGGTGTCAAGGTAAGCCTGAGGGTGGAGGTGGATGTGTTGATAACAGGAGGAATCCACACAGGAGATGACATGCAGAGTCTTTTTCTCTTACTTTTTTGTTTAGCTTGAATTATGAAAGTAATACATTAACATAGTCAAAAACTTTCAACAGTGCAGAAAGGTATAAATTATAGTTGACTGTAAAATCCCTTCTGTTTATATGGGAGGGTACCACTTCTCAGGAGTTACCATTATTAACAGTTTGTTTTGTACCATTCCAGAATTTCCCATGCATGACAAGCATATATCTGCATAGTCTTCTGTTGAAAACATAAGTGGGTTCATACTATGCCTACTTTATTTTGTGCCTGCTTTTTTCACTTAGACTAGGTTTTGAATGCTTTCCACAGACACACACTACTACCACGTTTTTAAAAAAAATTGTTGTATAGTATTCTATTTAGCCAGTTTCCTGTTTTTGGTTATTAAGGTTGTTTACATTTTTTTCCCAACTCTCACTAACATTGCTGCATTGAACATCCTTATATATCTAAATACATACGTGTATATATACTTATGTCCTTGTGGATGTATATTTGTGGGATAAATTCCAAGAAGTACAGTTGCTAGGTCATAGGATATGTACATTTGAAATGTTCTTGGATATTGGTCTCCAGAATAGGTTGCACTAATTTACTGATAATGATAGTTGAGCTAAACCTCAATGACGCACTTACTTTAGTAGGACAAGTGTCCTGTCTTTGTGTTGCTCCTTTTGCCTGTTACATCCTTTCTAGAGGTGGTTCCCTCCTTGTTAAGCTGCTGATCTGAAATTAATTAGGGTCAAGATATAGTCCAGCTTCAAGAAATTCAACTGCAACCATCAAGCAAAGGCTGCAATCAAGGCTGTGCCTGAAATGCCCACGCTCGTTCCGCTCATTAGCCCATACAGCTTGGCAGTCAGTTCTGGCCCAGCTGCTCCTCATGAGTGGGCCCTACCCTTCTGCAGATTGCAAGCCCAGCAAAGACAAGGACCACATGATGCCCCACTTCTCTATCCTTCAGCCTCTTTAAAGGCATAGTAAATTTGTTCTGTTGACACAAATAGGTCACATGAACAATGCAGGTGGGTTCAGAGAGCTTCCACTATTAGGGGATGCTTAGTTACTGAGAGGCCAATTATGAAGCTCAGAGACGTAGCAAGGGCTGGCTCCCAGAAATTACAGCTCTCCTGTTAACCTGCAATCATTTCAGTGGGAAGACCAAAGCAGGTCATCTGAAAAGACACTGTGTTTGAAGCATTAATTTAACCTGGGTTCAGTTAGAAAGATATCTTGTCTGATTCTGCCTTTATCACCCTTGAGTCCATTTACTTGGTTTTAATTTATAGAATATTAAGGAGGAATTTAATGACAGGTTTAGTGGTATGGTAACATATATCAGAAAACCAAACCAAATCCATTGCCGTCAAGTCCATTCTGACTCATAGTGACCCCATGTGTTACAGAGCAGAACTGCTCCATAGGGTTTTCTTGGCTGAAGTTTTTACAGAAGCAGATCACCGGGTCTTCTCTGAAGCCTTGGATGGGTTCAAACTGCCAACCTTTAGGTTAGCCGCTAGTTACAAACCACATGTGCCACCCAGGGATCTTTGAGATAAACAGATATTTACTTTTATACTAAGGAGCCCTGGTGGTGCAATCATTAAGCACTTGGCTGCTAACTAAAGTTCGCCAGTTTGAACCCACTAGCTGCTCCGTGGGAGAGAATACCTGGCAATCTGCTCTTAAAGATTACAGCCGAGGAAACACGTGGGGCATTTCTATTCTGTCCAGTAGGATTGCTAGGAGTCAGAATCTACTCGACAGCACACAACAACAACACTTCTATACTGGTTGGAGACTTTAGAACTTATTTTTTAAACAAATGAAATAATTACTGACTGCAGATCACTGAACACTCAAATCATTTGTGTGGTGAACTTATATTAAATAAGTGATTCTTAACTATATACAGTGTGAAATGTGACTGATTTTTACTTTTATACTGGGTTGAGGCTTTGGCTTTTATTTTTGAATATTACTTTCAAGCAAATGAAATATTTACAGAATGCAGATCATGAAGCAGTGAAGTACTTCTATAGTAAATCACTTATATGCTTATACAGTCATTTACACAATGAAATTAAATAAGTATTCCTATTTAATAAAAGGAACACTTACTAGTTGCTAGAAGTATAAAGATGGATAAAACAGTCTCTACTTTGAAGCAGTTCTCAGTTTAGTGTAGAGAGACTTTTAAAACTCTGTGATAAATACGAAGATGGAGAAGACATGTAAGCACAGAATGTGAAGGGAACAAAGAGGGGGGTCTATCCTAGTGGTAACTATAGTGGGACTCTTGGTGTCGTTTAGACGAGGGGGGCTAGACTACTTTGACATGAAATGTTCTGGAAAGTCTTTGTGGGTGGTAGGAGAAGTTACACCTGGAGATTGATTGGATGTGGTGGAGACGACAGATGCATGACCACCAGGATCAAAGGGATATTGATGCCACCAAGTAAGAGAAAATTCGCAGAGAGTAGGTTGGGGGAAAGTCAGTGAATTCAGATTGGGGTACAATGAGTTTGATGTGCTTACGAACAAAGAAGTCACTTTGAGGACTAAGGTGCACCTGAGCCTGACCCAAGCCATGGTATTTTCATTCACCTCATATGCATGCAAAAGCTGAACAATGAAAAAGGAAGACTGAAAAAAGAATTGGCGCATTTGAATTTTGGTGTTGGCGAAGAATATTAAATACGTGATGGACTACCAGAACGATAAAGTTTGTCTTGGAGGAAATACAGCCAGAATGCTCCTTAGAAGCAAGAATGGTAAGACTTCATCTCATGTACTTTGGGCATGTTATAAGGAGGGACCAGTCCCTGGGAAAGGACATCATGCTTGGTAAAGTAGAGGGTTAGTGAAAAAGAGGAAGACGACGCTCATCCAGACAGATTGACAGAATGGCTGCAACAGTGGACTGAAACATGCTTATTATTGTAAGGATGGTGCAGACCTGGCAACATTTTGTTCCGTTATACATGGGCCTCTGTGAGTCGGAACCAACTCAACAGCACCTAACAACGACAACATGAGCATCTCAGATGCATTCAATATTGTGCTGGGTTTTGAGGTTAATAGTGATGAAATTCTCCTCTTATATTTTATTGCCTCCATTAGATACAAAAACAGAAAGAAGCTCATTGCCGTAGAGTTGATCCTGAATCATGGTGACCCCATGTGTTACAGAGTAGAACTGCTCCATAGGATTTTTTTTCTTTCTTTTTTTTTTTTTTTTTACACAGAACCAGTTCACCAGGCCTTTCTTCCATGGAGCCGCTGGGTCAGTTTGAACTGCCTTTGGGTAGCAGCCAATTGCAAACCACTTGTGCCACCCAGACACCTTTCTGTTAGATATGGGAATCTGTTATTGGGTGGAGACATGAGGACTGAAAATGGAATTGAGACTTCTCAGTTCATAGGTGGTAGCTTAAAATGTGAGGTTGGATGACGTTGCCCAAGAAAAGTATGCAGCATGTGAAGAGCAGCAGTTTGAGGACAGAACATTGGGGAGTACCAAAATTTAAGGGTAAGCAAAGGATTCCATGAAGAAGATGGAGTAGGAACCATTTGGGAAGGACAAGAAGAATCAGGAAAGTGCAGGACCTAAAATCCGAGACTATGGAGAGTTCAAGACGGAAGGTGGAGAAATTATGTCTGATGCTGCCAAGGTTGTAATTCCATAATGTTTACAAAGTTTTTGTGATAATATGAAAAATACTTATGTTTTAATACTTACTGAGAGTAGGTCCCCAAATTTTACACGAAGTGTGTTCTTGAATATGTTTTAAAATACATAGGAAAAAAAAGCTAAGATAGTTCAAAATATTAATAACGGTATCCATTGAATGGCTTTTTTTTTTTTTTTTCTTTTTTCATGTTTTCTATGATAATCACTTGTCACTTTTTTTTTTTTTAACTTGGAATATTTTTATTTTAAAATATTAAAGGGAGTCTAGACCACATTTTGGCTACCTATTTCCATGAGCAAAAGTAAAGCTGTATTTTCGTTCTAAGCATACAGACCACAATGCCTCTAATGGTAGTTAGCAGCTTTTTTAAAAAAGGAGAAGAGACAGACAAAAAGAGAGAGGAGCAAAATGCCAATTACACACAGAATTTCAACCTGACTTAAAACTTCACCCTAATTCTAGAAAAGGAGAGAATGAGGAAGGCAGCACATATGTTTTATTAATTTTATAATTGGGGGAAAAAAATTAAAGTTATAAAGTCTGTTGTAAAATTGCTTGTATTTGTCTAAAACTAAAAGATTTTTTTAGATTATGCTACATTTGTGACAGCCAAGTTGATTTTATACGCTCAAACTATTTTGGTCAGCGGAATACAGTGTTGAAACCATTAAAATTTGTAGCAAATTAGAATCTGCTAACTTACAGATGTTGATAAAAAAGTTAAATGACTATATTATAGCTATTGCGTGACATTACTTGTCTACTGGTTTCAACGAAGTTGGTTTCTCATAAAATACAGTGCTTACCTCTACCCCAGGATTTAAGAATTTTCACTGTGAAAAAATTTCATGAAATTACATGTTTTATTACTCTTTCCTCTTTTCTAGATAGAAGCGGATTCTGTGATGTCTTCAATAAACCAAAACACTTCCGGTAATGTGAAAATGGGTATTAATTTTTAGTATCCTGATCTAGACATTCATACAACTAAAAATTACGAATAAATGTAGAGACTATAAAGCGTTATATTTAAGCACAGCTTTGTTTTGTTTCCCCTTATTCAATGAAGAAAAGAAGAAGATTTGAGTTCTTTTAATTTGATTAATTTATTTATTTACAGGTATAGTATATGTCTATTGCAGAAAAATTTTAAACTGCCGAAAAGCATAAGGAAATAAAATGTCACTCATAATTTCTACATGCAGAGGATGATTCTGGGTTTGCTGACTTGAGCAGCTGAATGAGTGGAAGTGGTACTTACTGAGATGGGTAGACTGGAGGAGAAGATTTGGGGCTGGGGGAGACCAAGAGTTCACTTTTGAATATGTTCAGTTTTGAGAAATTTCTATCAATGATATCATGTCAGTTGGTCTGTACAAATATGGAATTCAGAGGAAAACTGAGTTGAAAACATAAATGTGGGAGTCATACATGTAGATGATTTCAAAGCCATGGGAATGGTTGAGACTACTTAGAGAGATAGAGTAGAATGAGAACTTTAAGAACTATAACCATGAGAAGTTGGATAGAGGATGAGGAAATAGCAAAGAGACTTAGGAATGGTAGAGGGACAGGAGGAAAATCAAGAGTGTTTGATCAGAAGCCAAGAGAAGTGGATGTTTCAAGGAAGAGGGTGTAGCCAACACTGTCAAATGCTGCTGAAAGGTCAAGTGGCATAAGAACTGATGGGGGTCCACTGGAGTTGACAACCAGGAGTTGTTGGTGACTTTAGGAAGAACAGTTTCAGTGTGTGGTGACGACAGAGGCCAGGTTGGAGTGAGTTGAAGATAACTGGAAAGTGAGATAAATGGAAAGTGTGGCAATGTGAGTAGATAAGTCTTTCAGTAGGGCCAGAGTGGCTGTGGATCAAGAGGGATTTTGTTTTCTTTCTTTTTTTTTTAAATAGATGGGAGATACCAGAGTTGTTTCAAGTTTAGTGGAATGATCTGGTGAAGAGAGAGAGAGAGATGAGCACCTATCGTGTGACAGGATAGGATCCAGAGTGTGGTATATTGGCTTTTTAAAGTTACTTTTTGCTTGGAAATAATTTAAAGCTTACAAAAAGTTGCAAACAAAGAACAACAATGAATCTGTGAAGCATGTCATAACATGGATGAAACTGGAGGACATTATGCTGAGTGAAAGAAGTCAATCACAAAAGGACAAATATTGTATGAGACCTCTATTGTAAAAACCCATGAAAAAGTTCACACACAAAATGTAACAATCTTTGTTGGTTACC